ATGTGTTCAAAATTCTAAAACCCGTCATGGGTAAGGCATTGAGGCCGGACGGTCGCAGGCTTCGACCATCTCCAAGGGTGGGCATGTGTATATACATATGTTAAAATGTAAAGTATTCGAGCGGTCATGAGACAAACACGCAAACATCGATCCGATAAACGAAGAATAGGTTGACTAGTGAAAGCTTGTTGATCATATACTAAAGTCTACATCAATCCTACTTTGAAGGTTGCTTTAGTCCTCCAAACCGAGGAGTTACAACAAAAACACCAAGCCTAATCACCCACAAGCATTATAGAAGATAAAGACAAACTGAAAGAAAAAACACTTGCATTCCAAGAACAGTACAATATTCATTAAGGTACATAGTTCGATTCGAGAAGAACAAAGCGAAAAATACAAATGCTAATCTATGATGGAGGAGCAGTGGCAGAGTCAGCGTTGCTCGAGCTAGCATTAGGATCGAGCTGAGGGCCGGTGCCAGAGGTCGAATCGCAGGCTTCAGTGAGAGGACGTTGTCGAACAGATTCAGCCAGTGCGACCAACATGGCAGAAGGAGGAGTAGTATCATCGGGCAGAGCGAAGGTCTTCTTCAAAACCTCTGACCGGCCTAGGGTTCTTTCGAGTTGGCCCGACCACCATTCATGCTCGACTGGCAAGGAGGGGTCCCCACGGAAGCTCGGGGGTACCTTAGGCAAAGCATCCCAAATGGCCAGGGGGTCGAGCTGCTCGAAATCATCTTCAGCAATCTGCTCTCCGGCCTTTTGCAGGGCAAACTGGAAGCAGTCTACCCCGAAATCTTGCAACTCCTTTAAATATTGTGGTGACTGCATGAAGTCAGCCACCACTTGAACACGATGTTCGCGGAGGAAGAGCTGCCCAGTAGTCGTCGCCCAAAGCATCTGCCGAGCTCGAAGAGCAGTGGCATTTGCATATCTTTGTTTATCCTCGGCATGGGCAGCCCTTTCTTTGGCCAGGGTGGCCTCCATCTCAGCCCGAGCTCCTTCTGCTTCAGCCCGAACTTTCTCTGCCTCTGCCCGAGCCTTCTCGGCATCAGATCGAGCTTTCTCCGCCTCAGCTCGAGCAGCCCGCTCTTGCTCGAGCACCGCTTCCTTCTCCTTCAGGGCGGCCTCTTTCTCCGCCACGGCAGCCTCCTTGGCGGCAAGGATAGTATCTCTCTCCGCGAGAGCCTTTTCTTTTTTACTAAGTTCTTCGTCGAGAGATTTAATCTTAACGTCGAACTCAGTTTTCTGTTCTG